GAATAACGCCTCGAGTGGCACAGATGGAGTGGCAGGGGTCGAGTGAAATATGTGAACAAGGGAGAGGGCAGACTATTGTTACAGGGCCAGAGAGAGACTTTGGTAAGACCTAGAGAAGAAGGATTGCGTATCAATATGGCGGACTGATCCACATTCCCAGTACGAGGATGAAGGGGGGCACAGGTTTGGTCAAATGATCAGCTTTACTTGTCTCTGACGTGTTGTAATATAGTGCTACGAATGGCAAAACTCACTGACGATGCCGGCGAAATGTTTGGGAATGTACCACCTCCACGTTCCGACTTTGGAAATGATTATGCATACAATGGACTCCGGACAACGTGCGTTCCTCTAAGTATTCCTAGAAATATGACCAAGTTGCGAAAACAAGGTCAAACAGCTTCTATACAACGAAAGGAGATTGCGACCACACAAAAGGCCACACCATCTTGGTCTTCATACCTTCAACAGCAAAGATAGTTTTGGGTATATTTTTCAAGCTAATCTACACACTAATCGGGTTTCTGACCTAAAATTCCCCAAAAATGCATGAGTACTGCATACACACAACGCACATTCATCCACGAAGTTAAAATAAGCCCCAGGGTTAAGGGATCATATGCGAGTTTATTTACATAAATAAAATTTGTGATTACATCTGTTACCCTTCCTGCATCAACTTAACTCGTATACTTGCATGTAGAACAAGCAAAAAGAAGTCATCTAAATCGGGGAATGCTTCATCAAGATCGCAAAATGAAGTATAATAGGATAATAGAATATTAGCCTGCCACTATTCTTGGTTTATTTTTTTTAATGATTGTTCGTAAATAATGGTTTATGACTGTCCGTCACATGACGGACCAATGCTAATCACGGAATCATTTGGATCTCAGGACGATAAGCAGAAGCCTTCTTCCAACAATCCAATTATCACAAATCTTAGGCAATCCTCCTTCAGTATCGGGAGCAGGCTAATTTACGCATCACTTTACCAGCCTTTTTAAATGGCATTAAAAGTAAACCAGCATCAATTTATTAAGGGAGCTTTCGAAATCCAGCATCTCTTAATATTTTGAATGCCTTGTTCGAGGTCACTAAAAGGAAACCACCAAAGTGCTCATCTTTGGATTTTTAGATTAATTTTTTGGCCTAAATATCTCGTAAGTTTGCGCATTTGAAAAGAGAATTTTGCTCAATAAATTTCGCAGCAATTAAGGTGTAATTCGTAAATAATCAAATTGTTTGAATGGAGCAATGAGGATGAGTTAAATAATACTATTATGACGCACACAAATTCATTTATAATGCTCAATGACAGCCAATCATATCATATTCATTGATAAAACTCATAATCTGCCTCATTGATAATTTCTCCTCGCATTTAGCTATCTTTTCCTATCTTATTAACGTTATCCAACAACTTTATTTAATTCAGGTCTTGATCCTCACTGCTCAAACATACTATATGGCATAATTACTGGTTTTTTAATGTCATTTTGTATTAGTAGCATCAACCTGGAATTTCTAAGCTATGAAGACTAATATGGAGTGGCCTTCTGTGTGGTCGCCGTCTCCTTTCGTTGTATAGAAGTTGTTTGACCTTGTTTTCACAACTTGGTCATATTTGTAGTAAGTCTTAGAGGAACGCACTTAGTCCGGATTCCATTGTATGCATGGTAATTTCCAGAGTCGGAACGTGGACATGGTACATTCCCAGACGTTATGCCGGCATCGTTTTGCCATTCTTATGACCACTTTATTACTAGTCAACGAGTCACTGACGCCGACGCTTTTAACAATTGTTTGCTAAACAA